AAAAAAAAAAAAAAAAAAAAAAAAAATTAGCTAGGCGTGGTGGCACGCGTCTGTAGTCCCAGCTACTCTGGAGGCTGAGGCAGGAGAATTGCTTGAACTCGGGAGGCGGAGGTTGCAGTGAGCCGAGGTCGCGCCACTGCACTGTGGCCTGGCGCCTGGTGACGGAATGAGACTCTGTCTCAAAAAAATAAAATAAAATAAAATAAAATAAAATAAAATAAAATAACTGTGCGGGAGGCCACCCCACCCGTGGTGACCAGGGACCCGACTCAGCAGTGAAGTCGGGCAGCGTCGTCCTCAGGCTGCTTTTCAATTTCCTTGATAAATATGCAGGGTTTCTTTGCCAGTTGTAAAGCTACTAGCTCAAAGCAGGCTGGGTGACCTCAGACGGCTCCGCAGGGACCGGAAGGTCACTGGAGCCACTAGTGAAAATGATGCTGTCACTACCAACTCAAAAGACCACCTATCAATGTGCCATGTGCCACCCCCTGGAGCACACACATATACACACACACTCACACGTGTGTGCATTTGTACACCTCCCCCAGGAGCTGCAGCCAAGACGGGCATCCCACATCAGGGATGAATGGCAGGTCTGTCCCGCCAGCTGTGAGCTCTCTCCCACCCCAAGAAAGCAGCAGACTCAGACGGCGGAGCCTAGAGGAGCCCACGCAGTCTGTTCCCGGCACCGGTGCATGTGGAGGGATTTGAGGGCAGCGAAATGGAATCAGAAAGAGAAATCATCGACCTTCAAGTAAGTTCTCTCTGGAAGCGAGCAGAGGGGAAATTGGGAGCAGAGGTGAAGCTGGAAGAACAGAGGATTGTTACTTTAGTAACATATTCTCCGTCCCCCTTCTCTTTCTTACTCACCCCCTTCTCCAAATGCTCCCTAGGCTTTGTCCCTCTATTTTCTCTTTCTCTCCGTTTCCCTGTCTGGTTCTTCACTTTTTTGAAATATCTGAAAAACAGATTGGTTAAATCCCTCTTGGCTTCTGCTGCTTCTTGTCAGTCAAAGAGCTAATTAGATCCGTGTTACCAGAAAATGATTTCACATTCTGAGCAATGCTTTCCCGAAGCCCCAGGACAGCAGAGGCTTCTCTTAGAGCTGCTGGGCAGTTCTTTGGAGACAGGAAAGATAGGAGTTTTGAGGCTAGGAAGAGAGGCAGCTGGCCAAGTTTGCATTTTACAGGTTGGAAAAAAACTGGAGCCATTTCTCGGCTATCTTCACAAAGCTCTACTGTGTAGGACAGAAAGCGTCTCATTTGGACTGTGCAAGGAAAGGAAATCGGTGTAATCTCCTAGGAGGAGGCAGAGATGTGTGTCCCTCTCTAGCTGGGATGGGCTTGGAAGGCATCAGAGGTTCCAATCCACCACTGGAGGGGAAAGGGGTTGGATGTATGGTGAGAGGAGAACCAGACTGCGGGGAGCTGCACACCCTGACTCCCTGTTAATGGATAGAATAGAATCAATCCTGTGACCACTGCTGAGGTTGTGCAACATTTCAGAGAATGGAACAACTAAAGTGTGAAAAAGGACTGTTGAGATCAAGAACTTGTGATCCCTGAACCTGGTCCTCGAACAAAATCTCAACCAGCCACCCAATATATACTTCAGATTAAAGAAGAGCTGTTTTGTTGAAGCAGAGTATGTGCATGCGTCTCTCTCTCATTCTTTGTATGTGTTTTGGGCAGGGTGGCATAAGTCTGGCAGAGTCTCTGTCCTTGGCCCCTTCACCCCTGAGACACCACCAGGAACTTGTAGGACTGCTTGCTGTACTGTGTCAAAACTATTCACCTAGTACAACTGCATACCTAGTGTTGTTTTCCTGGATCGGCAGCCAATCCCCAGAACAGTCTCACCTCAAGGCTTGCTGGTCCCTCCAGCTGGAACCTTCTTTCCCTGGCTTATCTCCTGGCTGGCCCTTCCTAGTATATTCAGATCGCAGCTCAAATGTTACTTCCCCAGGGAGACCTCCTCTGACCAACCTCTTTATAGGATGGCTCCTCCCCAATTTGTCTTTATCATTTGTTTAATTTCTTTCTTTCTTTTTTTTTTTTGAGACAGGGTCTCACTCTGTTGCCTAGGCTGGAGTGCAGTGGTGCGATCTCGGCTCACTGCGATCTCGGCTCACTGCAACCTCTGCCTCCCAAGTGGCTGGGATTACAGGGTTCAAGCAATTCTCCGGCCTTAGCCTCCCAAGTAGCTGGGATTACAGGCACTCACTACCATGCCTGTCTAATTTTTGTATTTTCAGTAGAGACAGGTTTCACCTTGGTCAGGCTGGTGTCAAACTCCTAACCTTGCGATCTGCCTGCCTCGGCCTCCCAAAGTGCTGGGATTACAGGTGTGAGCCACTGCACCCGGCCTGTTTAATTTCTTTCATAGTACTGCTCACCACCTGAAGTTACATTGCTTATTTATTTAGCAGGTATTGCCTGTCACTTTCACTAGGACACAAGATCTCCCAGAGCAGTGCCTCCCCTGTTTTATTCATTGCTGCAGCCCCAGTGCATGAGGCAACTCTTGGTACACAGTAAGTGCTTTGGAAAACATTTATTCAATGAGTGAGTTAAGGAAGCCATGATAGGAATAAGGTCATTTAATCAGCCCAAGACCTCCAATCCGTAGGAATAAGGTCATTTAATCAGCCCAAGACCTCCAATCCAGGTCTTCTGTCCCTAGGGTGTATTTTCTTGTTACTTTTCCTAGCTCTTGTCTCTGTAAGATCTTTGGTAGTTAAGGAAATTGGAAGTAGTTAAGGAAAATTGTGTCTATCTCTAGTAGGAAACTAAGGTGTTAGTGTACATTTCTCTTCATTTGTCATTCACTCTCTTCTAATATGAGATTTAATTCTCGTATCTTCCTCACATTTTCCTTTGGTCAGAAGGTTATCCATTACTTTCTACAGTTTCTTGTCCACCTTTGGCTGGGCACGGTGGCTCGTGCCTGTAATTCTAGCTTTTTGGAGGCCAAGGCAGGAGGATCACTTGAGCTCAAGAGTTAGAGACCAGTTGGCCAGGCATGGTGGCCCAACCTGTAATCCTAGCACTTTGGGACGCTGAGGCAGGTGGATCACGAGGTCAGGAGTTTGAGACCAGTCTGACCAACATGGTGAAACCCCATTTCTACTAAAAATACAAAAATTAGCCAGGCATAGTGGGTGGCATGCACCTGTAATCCCAGCTACTCAGGAGGCTGAGGGAAGAGAATTGCTTGAATCTGGGAGGCAGAGGTTGCAGTGAGCTGAGATTGCGCCACTACACTCCATCCTAGGGGTCAGAGTGAGATTCTGTCTCAAAAAAAAAAAAAAAAAAAGAGTTAGAGACCAGCCTGGGCAATATAGCAAGACCCTATCTCTATTAAAAATTAATAATTAACTAGGCATGGTGGCGTGCACCTGTAATCCCAGCTACTTGGGAGGGTAAGGACTGTTTGAAGCCAGGAGTTCCAGGTTGCAGTGAGCTACAGACATGCCATTGCACTCCAGCCTAGGCAGCAGAGCCAGGCCCTATCTCTAAAAGCAAAACAATAGGCCGGGCACAATGGCTCATGCTTGTAATCCCAGCGCTTTGGGAGGCCAAGGCAGGTGGATCCCCTGAGGTAGGGAGTTCGAGACCAGCCTGACCAACATGGATAAACCCCATCTCTACTAAAAATACAAAATTAGCCAGGTGTGGTGGTGCATGCCTACAATCCCAGTGACTCAAGAGGCTGAGGAAGGAGAACCACTTGAACCCAGGAGGCGGAGGCTATGGTGAGCTGAGATTGTGCCATTGCACTCCAGCCTGGTCAACAAGAGTGAAACTCTCTCTCTCTTAAAAAAACAAAACAGAACAAAAAAAACAAAAAACAATAACACTGTTTAGTTAAAACAATGTTTCCCCAAAATGTGGTACAATGATACCAATGGGTAGTAAAGGTACTATCAATGGCTGACACGTTTTTATTATAGTGATTATCTTTAAAGTTATAATATTCATTAGAAAGAGCATAGTAACCTATCAGACCTATGATTCCATTTTTTTTTTTTTGAGATGAAGTTTTGCTCTTGTCGCCCGAGCTGGAGTACAATAGTGTGATCTCGGCTCACTGCAACCTCCACCTCCTGGGTTCAAGCGATTCTCCTGCCTCAGCCTCCTGAGTAGCTAGGATTACAGGTACCCACCACCATACCCAGCTAATTTTTGTATTTTTAGTAGAGATGGGGTTTCACCATGTTGGCCAGGCTGGTCTCGAACTCCTGACATTGTGATCCTCCCGCCTCAGCCTCCCAAAGTGCTCGGATTACAGGCATGAGCTATTGCGCCCGGCCTAGCCTTTGAATCTTCTTTGGTGAGGTGTCTGTTCAGGTGTTTTGCCCATTTTTAGTGGAGGTTATTTTCTCATTGTTGAATTTTAAGAGTTCTTTGACTGTTTTGGATAGCAACCCATTATTAGATGCACCTTTTTTTTGCATTTTTGGTAGAAACAGGGTTTCACCATGTTAGACAGGCTGGTCTGGAACTCCTGACTTCAAATGATCCGCCCGCCTCAGCCTCCCAAAGTGCTGGGATTACAGGCGTGAACCACCACGCCGAACCAGTTCAAAATATTTTAAAATTTCTCTTGATACTTCTTCTTTGACCCAAGTGTTGTTTGAAAGCATGTTGTTTAATTTTCACATATTTGAAAGATTTCAAGTTAACTTTCTGTTATTGATTTCTAGTTTAATTCCACTGTGTTCTGAGAATAGATTTTGTATGATTCTATTCTTTTAAATTAGTTAAGGCATATTTTATGGCCTAGAATGTGGTCTGTCTTGATGAATGTTTTGTGTGGGCTTGAGAAGAATGTATATTCTGCTACTGTTGGATGAAAAGTATATGCATGTCAATTATATCCAGTTGATTGATGGTGCATTGAGTTCAACTATGTCTTTACTGATTTTCTACCTGCTGATCTGTCCATTTCTGAAAGAGGGGTGTTAAGTCTCCAACTGTAATAATACATTAATCTATTTATCCTTACAGTGCTAAGAGTTTTTGCCTCACATAGTTTGACACTCTGTTGTTAGGTGCGTGCATGTTAAGAATTGTTGTGAGGCGCGGTGGCGCACACCTGTAATCCCAGTACTTTGGGAGGCCAAAGTGGGTGGATCATTGAGGTCGGGAATTTGAGACCAGCCTGAGCAACATGGAGAAACCCCGTCTCTACTAAAAATAAAAAATCAGCCAGTCATGGTGGTGTATGCCTGTAATTCTAGCTACTAGGGAGGCTGAAGCAGGAGAATCGCTTGAAACTGGGAGGTGGAGGTTGTGGTGAGCTGAGATCGCGCCATTGCACTCCAGCCTGGGCAACAAGAATGAAACTCCATCTCAAAAAAAAAAAAAAAAAAAGAATTGTTATGTTTTTGGTGATTTGACTCCTTTATCATTATGTAATACCTTTCTTTATCCTTGCTGACTTTCCTTGCTTGCTTTGAAGTTTACTCTGTCTGAAATTAATATAGTACTTCTTTTTTTTTTTTTTTTTTTTTTTTTTTTGAGACAGAGTCTTGCCGTGTTGCCCAAGCTGGAGTGCAGTGGCACGATCTTGGCTTACTGCAACCTCTGACTCCCTGGTTCAAGCAATTCTCGTGTCTCAGACTCCCAAGTAGCTGAGACTACAGGTGCCGGCCACCACACCTGGCTAAGGGACAGAGTCTCGCTCTGTCACTCAGGCTGGAGTGCAGTGGCACAATCTCAGCTCACTGCCACCTCTCCCTCCTAGGTTCAA